GTAGCTTTTTAGTTCATGTAAAAAGGAAGACAGATAGGAATTGGACAAGATAGTTTTCGTAGTTTTAGAGGCAACTGGCCTACTGCATCACCTTTTAGTTTTAGTATTTCGTTTTTTTTCTTTTTATTTTTCTTCTTTATTTTCTTTTACTTTTCTTCTTTTTCTTCTTCTTTATTATTATTTTACTTGTGAATAAATACAATATTTATAAATACACACTATTGGCAATCTGTTGAATTGTAACTCATTGTGATAATATAAATACTTTGATAAATCGTCTAAGCTAAAACTTGTAAATTGTTAAAAGATTACTGCTCAATTAAAAAAAATAAACCGCTCGAACACCCCATTTAACAGTTGTATTTTGCAAGAATTACATGTTGACAATACTATAAAAAATAGTTAATTATAGTAAATTAAGTTTTATATAAATAAAATAACTTTTTTTTAAAATATAAATTGACTATTTTATGAATTTTAAGTAATAATAAAGAAATCAAATTAAAATTTTTATATTATCAATAGGATAATTACCTAATAATAATAAAGTTATGTAAATTATGCAATATGATAATCTCTTGATTTAAAATTCTGAAAATACTGAAAATTCTACAAATTTTGAAAATACAGAAAATTTATGAAATTTTATAAATCTACAAAATACTGATAATAATTTTAATTTTATAAATTAAACAAAACTTAACAATATTCAATTTTATACTTATTTTAATATTTTACTTTTATTATAAATTAAACGAAGCTTAAAAATACTCAATTTTATATTTATTTTAATATTTTACTTTTTATTAATTTTCTTATTTTATTATGTATTTTTATTAGTTTATTTATATTTTATTTATTAAATAAATTAGTTTATAATATAAGAATCAGTTAGCTAAATAAAATAAATTTTATATAATAGATAAACTTTTTGTTTATATTATAAATTAATTCTTTTATAATTTTTAAACTCATTTGTAAATATAAGAATATAAGTTTCAATATTAATAAAAAAGTCAATTAAATTTTATATTTTTCTATCTTTTCATATTTTTATATAGTTAAATATAATCTCTATATAATATTTGTAATTGAGTTCGTTATCTAAATTTTTTAATTAAAATTATTTGTAGTTTTGTCTTTCAAGTTTTTATACTTGATAGATTGTTAAGTTTAGTACATAGATTTAATAAAATAAGAGTTAAGTAAATCTTAACATCATAACTATAGTTAACAATTTTAAATAAAAACTTAAAAATGTAATTAATCTGAGTTAAAAGAATTTTACAGTAATAATATATACTTTTTTAATTTTTTATTTGGAATTTAATTATAATACCTTTATACTAACTTGCTTTTAAGTTTATTATTTAAATAGAAAATGTAACAAATTTATATAATACAATTAGAGTTCTGAATGAATCGAGTTAACTCATGAGTCAGATAAGCTGAGTCAAGTTCAAATCAAGTTGAGTTTATGTTTTTTTGACTTGATAATTTGCGAGTCAAGTCAAATTCAAGTCGAGTTAAATATTTAACTCGACTCAATTTAAACTTGATTTGATTCGAGTTGACTCAAGTTGATTTGAATAATAAAAAAATCATTCTAAGAAGAACGATAAAAAATCGTTCGACTTGAATGATAAAAAAATCATTCTAAAAAGAACAATTAGAAATCGTTCAACTTGAATGATAAAAAAATCGTTCAAGTCAAACGATAAGAAATCGTGAGACTTGAATGATAAAAAAATCATTCAAGAAGAATGATAAGGAATCGTTTGACTTGAATGATAAAAAATCATTTAAGAAGAACGATAAAGAATCGTTCGACTTAAACGATAAAAAAATTGTTCAAGTCGAACGATAAGGAATCGTTCGACTTGAATGATAAAAAATCATTCAAGAAGAACAATAAGGAATCGTTTGACTTGAACGATAAAAAATTATTCAAGTCGAATGATAAGAAATTGTTCAACTTGAACGATAAAAAATCATTTAAGTCAAACGATAAGGAATTGTTTGACTTGAATGATAAAAAAATCGTTTAAGAAAAACAATGACTTGAATCATTCTTTTCATTTTTTTTTTATTATTTTTTTTTTCAAAATCGAATCAAGTTAAAATCGAGTCGAGTCAAATTGAATCAAGTTTAAAATTTATATAACTCGAATCAAATCAAATTGAAAGATTTTATAAAATAAATTTGACTTAACTTGACCCCAAAAAAATGAGTTGAATAGAGTTGGTCTTTAAACTAATTTGACTCGACTTATTCAGAACTCTAAATACAGTTAGTAATATATGTATAATACCCTTTATATTCTCCTATATTCTATATATTTCTACATATAGAATATGTTTTTGGAATATATGCTTGTATAATCATTTTCATATTAGTCTTATTATTTTATATTTTAATATTATTAGAATGAGTAATATAATTATATTAACATATTCTGTATAGTTTTTAAATTAATCTTTTTTTTTATTTCATCATATTTGAAATATTGAATTTGAGTATAATAATAAATCATAATTTTTCATAAGGTAATTTATAATTTTCTTATGTAATTTATTTTTCAGATTTTTAATTCTTTTAAAAATTCTTGAATTACTTTATCAATTCTTTTAACTTTTTTTTTTTCTTCTTAAATTGAACTCTTAAGTGTGTCTCTTATTAAATTTAATTTGTCTGTATATAATCAAAATCTTATCAATCTTTATATATCATTATTATTAACTTTTGTGATTTTTTTATAGATAAGTATATTATAAATAGAATTTGAACTTTTAGATTAATAATTATAAATTTTCTTATGAGTTTTTTTTTTTGACTTTTTTTATCTTTTATGTACCTATGATAAGATTTATTTGTTAATTTTTTTAAAGTACATAAGTTTGCAATTATTATTAATTTTTTCTAATAATCAACTATTATTTTTTTTCTTAGTTTTAAAATGCAAAGCTTTTAGATCTTTTGATATTTTTATGAGATTATATAATTTTTTTTTTGGTATTTTTATAGAATCAGAAATCTTTAAATAAGTAAAATATGTAAAAATTTATTTTGATATTTTTTGTGCATATATGATAATGATGTATTTTAGATTTTTCCTAGTCTTAAACTTTAATAAAATCTGAATATCTTTTATTTAACTTACAAATAACATATAGTAAAATACGCTTTTTACAATAACTCAGTTAATATCAATACTAAAAATACAATTTTACTACCATTAGATTTCACTTGTTAAGATAAATTTAATGATACTAAAATTGTCTAAATTTAATTATTAGTTAATTTAAAAACTAGATATATAGAATAATGAATTTTAAAATTCTTTGTAATATGTAATTTTAGTCAGAATCTACATATAAATTTTAACTTTAATCTAAATTATATAAGAGATTTTTGGGATTCTACTTTAACATGATTTTGTTATCTTTTAAATTGAAATTTTAATAGCTTTATTTATAATTTTGACAATTAAGTTATTTAATATATTATCATAAGCTTTCTTATTCCCCAATTTTAAATATATAATCTTTTTCAAAAATTTTATCTTTGAAAAATTTATTATCTTCTTATATTTATTCACATTTTATCTACATACATAATCAAAACTATCTATTCTGCAAATAGTTAATAATTATATCATAGGTTAATTTTATTTATCATTTTATTATGCATTTTTATAAAATGCAAGTATAATTTCACTTTCTCTTTTTTGATCTTTTGTTTTTTCTCATTATCAATATTTTTTTTCTTCTATGTTTAGCTATTCTTCTTCTTTATAATTTGTAGAGGAAGATGGTGTTGATTGTAAAGATATTTTCAGACAGCTCATGTTTATTAGTTATCAAAAAGAATCATGAGTTTTGTAGAGCTGAATGAAAATACGTATTTGAGAAGTTTACAGGTGAACTTATAATCAATTATGGTAGGTAATCACAATATCTTTGATAAGACTTTTACATGATTGTTCTAGTAGGATTTGCATTTGAAGTTGATATTACTGATGAGTTTATAGATTGAAAACTGGAAGTTGAAGAGTTGTTGCTACTATTTAAGATCTTCTTTTTTGCTTGATACTAGGGATCTGAACCTTTTTTGGTAGTGGTGATGGTGGCAGTGGTGGTAGTATTATCTGCATTTTGGAAAGTTAACTCTGGAAAAATGGAATATATTGTAAAGGTGAGTACCAGAAGGAGACTTTATAGCAGTAATTTTTCTTACTTTAGCCAGCAAACACAAAATAAATAAAAGTAATAATTTTTTTTTTGTTTAATATTTTGTTTTCGTTTTATTTGTGAACGTTTTGAAGTCTTCAACAAGTTTTGAAGTTTATGGTTCGAAAGCTATTGTGGCTAAAGTCACAAAGACTGAAAGTTCTCCTTTTTGATTTCATTTACCACACATTTCTTTATTATAGTATCTACATGAGCAACAATATTGTCGTTCCAGTTTCATTTATTGAAAACAACTATGAGCAAGCAAAGAAAAGAAAGGAGGGATTGGTTTACAGTTTACGATTTTGAATCTTTTTTATGGGCCCTTAAAATTGACTTTTTTTTGACTATTTCTCATATTGTTTGTAACAATAAAATGATATACTGTTTGAATAGACTCTACATTGATAAATTGATAATAAGCATTACTAAGCAGATGTTACGATTGTAAATTACTAAATAAAAACTTACTATGGTAAAGTATCGATTTGAATGAATTTATACTTAATATAGTAATGTATACATAGGAATTGAACACCAAAATTTGGTAGTATTTTTTTTCAGACAAAAATTATTTGATTGATTTTTTTTTTATTTTAAAAATAATGTATATATACAATTTAATAAATGAGTAACTATATTACTAGTTGTATCGTCCGGTTAAGAACATGTACAAACTCCCATAATGGTATATGTATAAATATATATTACATAATAGCAATTTCCTACATACCAAATATATACAAAGAAAAGATGTAACCCATCCAATTTTAAAATCCGATTTCAAATAATATCAAATATCTAGGTAGCGTAGCCTAGAAAATCAAATCAAATGAGGTTAAATAAACGACACTGAAAAACAAAACATCGACTCCGTTTAGGATATTACATACCTCATCTTTATCAACGATAATAATATCACTAGAATTATAAGAGACAACGTCGACAACAAACATGGCCAATAAAGAACTCTTTGAAGCAAAAGGTGTACAATTAAAAAAAGTTCTGGAAGTTGATAAATTACAATATCCCAGTGATATAGCCGAATTATTAGCAAACCACATTCCTAAATGAAAATGATCGAGAAATAGAGTTAGCGTCTCAATTCTTCCATTTTTACGTTTTCCCTATCTTCTTTGACACTTACTTCCATTAAATCTACTATATTTTCTTTGATTTCCATTTTGTATTATACCGCACATACCACAATTAAACATGCAATAACTATTATGCCCATTAATGAGCCGCTTAGGATTACAACTAATTTTGGTACCATGAAACATTCTATATGTAAACTTATCCAAATTGTCTTCTTGTGTTGTCGATAAATGATTTAATAATGAAGTATGTTTATATTGTGCATGAGCATTAATTAATTTAGTAGGCATTTGTAATTGAATTATAGAATGTATATTAGCGTGAGGTAAACCAATAAAAAAATAATCTCGTATTTGGTTATATTCTGCATCTCCCTCGGAAAGAACTTTTAATTTAGTTTTTGATAATACGCATTTATTTGTTGGATCAGACGCGTTAAAGGATGTGGGGGTGGAAGGAATAGATGTCGGAAATGAAAAATTACTTAATAATTGTGGTTGTGGTTGCGACTGGGGTTGTGTTTGTAGATGTGATGTTTGTTGTAATCGTTTTAATTGTTGTAATCGTTGTTGTTTTGATCGTTGTTGTTGTAATCGTTGTTGTGATAACTTTTGTCGTAATTGTATGCGTTGTAGTGCATTTATACGTAGAAGTGCATTTGTACGTAATTGAGATTGTTGTCGTTTAGGTAGTAACGGCTGTTGCACTTGCGATTGCTGCATCTGTGATTGTAATTGTTGTTGTTGAAATTGCAGTTGAAAATTTTGTTGCATTTGCAGTTGAACATTTTGTTGCATTTGCAAATGTTGTCCCAGCTGTTCTTGTGTTTGTGATTGGATTGGAAATTGTGGTTGTAACTGTGGTTGAAATTGTTGTGTAGTTGGTGGTCGTAACTGTCGTTGAATTTGTAAATGTTGTATTTGTTGTTCTAACTGTCGTTGTAATCGTGGTTGGGAAGGATGCGAATGAAGTCGAGGAAATGGCAATTGTTGTTGGACATTTGGTTGTAGTTGTGGATGTGGTTGTAGTGATTGTTGTTGTTGTTGTATTTGGTGTTGTAACTGCTGTTGTATTTGCGGTTGGGAGGGAAGTGAATAAGGTTGAGAAAATGGCACGTTATAGTTGTCGTCGAGATAAGAAATGTTTAACTCTTGTGGAGATAATGGATTATGGCATAATACGCACATAATAGATCTAGAATCATTTAAAAACGTACAAGCAGAACATGTTGTCATTATAACAAATTCTGATGTATGATCAAAGCTCAATGGTTGTTGTGGTTGAGCAGCAGCATCAACGGGATCGTCATTATTTAAGACAAAATAATTTTGCTGATTATTATTGATATTCTGTATTATACCATTATTATGAAAATCATTTGAGTAGTGTGAATCATTCTCATCGTAATCCAAGCAGGTACTACAATGATTATTATCATTAACATTAGTATTATTACTAAGATTGCTGGTGTAATCAACTAAATCAGAGTACGATCCCAAATTAAAGCTCGTTAGATTATGCGAGGGAGAGGGATAATCTACGATATTGGTTTGATTTGAAGGTAAAATTTCTGAAAAGTCGTTCAGACTTAATGGCATAGTAGCAAGATTTGTCGTTGCCATTGTCATTGCCGCTGCCGTTGCTGCTGCTGATACTGTTGTAGTTATTGAATTTCCATCAGATTTATTTTGACGAGTGAAATAATTCCAAGATTTAATCCTCTCGAGCTTTTGCTGTTGTTGCGTCGGTTGCCTCTTGATTATACATGGGCTAACCCTCTTTTGTTTTTTCTGATCACCTAATCTGACCGTAACATTATCAATCTCCCTTTTTGTCGCACTGAAGTTCTTGAAATTGATACCGCTAAACCCATTTCCAGCATTTGGAGCGTTGAAATTCATCTCTCTCATCCCGCTTAATTCGTTATTTCCTCCAAGGTCCAATTGACCTTCCTCACTCAGTCCGCAGTTATCATTAGTTGAATCGGTTAAGGTGGAAGGTTGAGACCAATCATTTAATTGACACATCATGCTACAGTAACCCATGGTTTTACTATCGTCAATTATCAAACGATTGTTACATCCCGATTTCTTACATATTGAGAATTGCAAAGTGTTTCTTCGTTGATTGTTATAAGATGGTTTAAAAGATTTAATCTTATCCAAGAAGGTGGTTGAAGTTGTAGTAGAGGAGGGGAATGGAACAGTGGGGGACAGTAAGGAGGATGGTGGTGATGATAACGGGGTGATGGTCGTGTTTGTTATCGAAACGGATGGATTATTAGAAGAGGACACGTAGGAAGAATTTGTTGAAAATTTTGGTGGAATATCTGAGTAGTTGATAGAAACAAAATCATCATTATACATTCCTGTATATTCCATTATTATATTCTTTCTCGAATTCCGACGAGAAAAAAAGAATCCCCCTACTATTACGTTGCTTACAAAAGTCAAAGGGGACAAAGGGGGAAAGAAAAAAGAAATAAGTAAAATAAAGAAAAAGTTAAAAAAGGGGGACTCCCTGAAGAACGAAAAAGAAAAAGGAAAAGGAAAAGAAAAAAAAAAAAAAAAAATTAGTCAATTTATAAATATCAAAAAAAAAAAAAAAATTGATCAGATAACGAACGAATTTTCATGCATTACCTTAAAAGTTATCGTGTCTTACAACTTTTTTTTTTTTATTTTTTTTTTTTTTTCCTTTGAAATATCTTATTAAGTGATTACATTGGTAAATAATTTTAAGTGTATGGTACAAGGCACAAATCAGCGTGCGAATCTTTTTCTATTCCTTTTTTACGTTGCCGGAGAGAATACCGATCACGCAGGATTTATTTTTTATTTTATCACCCAACGATTTTTTATAGTACCAAATATGTTTGGGTTATCAGATTTCGGAAATTTTCTGATGGGTTTTCGTAATCATTTCGCACGGTGCAAAATGATTTCTTGAAAGGCTGGTTGTTTTTGTGTTACAGGTATTACAACAAAGAAATGATGGGTCATTTCATGCATTCCATTTTACATAGCATCTCTTTTAACAAAGACATCTCCGAATAATTCAAATTTGTCAACCAATTTACCATACATGTTAAACGTAGAACGATGGGACTAATTTTGGATTAGGGTACATGGCGCAGCGACGAGGAGATGTCGTTGACAGTGGTACCAAAATATTGTTGCGGAAAAAGACCAAATCGAGATATGTAAAATCACAGTGATGATGACGAATCTGGTTTTTTTTTGTTGTTCAAAAGATCATGTCTTGAAAAATCGGTCAGCTTTGTGATTTCAATCAGGTTATCAGAATAAAAACAATAAGAAACGTGATTTTCCATACTTACCCCGGATTACCCGAAGATTTCTTTTCTGATGTTTATTCATTTTCTGTAGGGGGTTATGTTTGAAGTATTTATAGGAGTTATGATACGTAATTTCTCTTTTCCAAAGACTTCTTAGTAAAGGAATCTTTTCCTTATAAAAAAAACTTATGTAATTGACAAATAACAATAACAAAATTAATAATAACAAAAAAAAAAAAATGACGAACAATAACCGGAGAATAATAGAAAAAATGATATATATTAAAAAAAAGAAATCCATATCCATTTTCATTACCAAATGTAATCAATGATTATTTCGATTGTATTATCATCCTTTTTTTTTTTCAAAACAAAAAAAATAAAAAAACAAAACAAAAAAAAAAAAAAAAAAAAAAAAAAAAAAAAAAAAAAAAATGAAAAGTAGAATATTTATAAAGTTTTCACATACTGACGTAGATCAAACCCTTTGTATCAATTAAATTTCCTTTTCAGAAAATTTAAATGGCAGAATTTTGTGCCGAAGGTGAGATATAATTTATGTCATTGGCTTTTAAAAATTGAATAGGAATAACACCAATCAAAGTTTCACAGGGGTACAGGAGCATTTACCTAATTGGGACAACTTCGGTGTAATTAAGTTTCCATTTAAAAATGTTATTGGGAAGTAAAGGTAAAATTCTCAATGCGGTTTAGTTTAGTATTGTTTTCAAGGAAGCAAGTTTTGGTGCAATAGAAATCGTTCTTCATAATCTATTGCACCGGTACATCCTGAATTTGGAAAATTTCCTTAAGCTTGTATAATGATTGTGTAATGGTGGTGTTAATTTTTAGAATTTTCAAACTTAAAATGATGATTACAAATTGTATTCGACATGCCTTTTTTTTTCGCCAAAAAATATTTACATTTTTTCATTTTTATTTGTAAACGATATATTATAAGGGAACTCGTTATTCCACGAGATGTTGATGTAATTTTTTTTATTGAATTGGGCTTTGGAAAAATAAATATTTACAACTGATCTGATCACGTGCATGATCCTTGCGGAATAATATCCGGTTAATAGCATGGCAAGAAAAACCATTCGTCAAAATAGGCAAAGCGATTATAAAAGTTTGATACACGCAAAGAAAAAAAAAAAGAGGGATTGTATCTTGTTTACATGATACATCCACCATATAGAGTTAAATTTGGAATCTCATAGTAGCAATTCATTTGTTTGTTTAATCCAAAAATTGATTATTAATTGAAGCAAATCACCCGTGTTTCAAAATTTTCACAAGTTACGCGCATTTAAATTTTTATTAACAAAAATTTCTTGTGTTTTGACTAAGCCCTATAAACGCAGATCGTTCCAAATCCTGTCCGTAGCTTGCTCAAATGCGTCAAAGCACGTTCTTGATATCTTTAGCTCTTATTTCTACTACATTAGTGCGTCCTTTCGGAAATGAACTCGGATGTTCCGTATGGTTCTAGACCCTTGCTTTGGATTAATGTATTTATGTGTAGAGAGAAGAATAAATGGTTTGTTTATAAGAGTTTATTCTTCATTAGTTGTCTGATTGTGCCTTATATATAATTATTTATGGGCTGAGACTAATATTTATGCGGCTTAGGACTATGAGATAGCAGTTAGTGTTATGGATAATTTAACTTGAAACATTATACAAAATTGTTGTTCAACGAATTATTTTATGTACAAATTCCACATTATGTAGTTGTCACGTACCTTCAGAAAATTTCCGAATCCCTGCAGGAATCTGATTTTTTTCCTAGGATGAATTACATTAAAGATGAAAGTTGAAATTTGAAATTCAAAAATTTTTTTTTATTTGCACTCATGATTACTATACAATGTTATAAAATGCTAATAATAATAAAATTACAATTTTAATAGTAATTTGCGAACTCCACCATCTTAGTTGCATATTGGGATCTATTCAACTTAATGCGATACGCGATTTAAATTATCGTACAATAAATAAATGTAGAGACGATTATTAAATAAACACAATCATTACCTTTTGACAAAGTTGTTGTAAAGATGTCTATTTATATGCAAGAGAAAAAAGTTGGTTGCTAACACCCAGTCAATGAATGATACAACGAAAATTAAAACTTCTGGGTCGTCTAGAAAGCATTCATAAAAAAAAACTGAAATTATGTCGAAACGTGCAAAGTTTTGGATGTTGAACGTTTCTCATCAACAATGATAACTAAACATTGTAAAAAGTACGTCGTTGGGTTTACCGTATCACGAATTCACTTCAAAGGTATTCTAGATGTGAGATTTATACCCATTTGTAATCGGATCCTGTTGCGTCTTTTTAAAATTTCTCGTTTTCCCTACAATCAATATATTTTCATTTTTTATTAAATTTTTTTTTCGTTGTTCTAAATGTAAATTATTAAATTAATATATACATCCATAAGTATAATAATAATGGTTACACACTCTAATAGTGTTTTAAAGTTTTGAGCTGATTAATTGGGTAATTAGTTTTGAAAAATTATTATTATGTAATTCTTTTTTTTTTTTTTTTAAAAAAAAAAAAAAAGGATTTATATGTATTATTTTATGATTCCGTGATTCTGGCAACTTAAATATGATTTTATCGCTATTATTTCCTGTAACATGGATCATATTTTAAGAATCAATGTTGGAAACTAGAAATTATAATTCTAAAAAATTCTGTACCATAATTGATTTTTACCTTTACATGTCGCAATTAAAAATTTAATAATTACCGTAACGGTAAATGCAAACTCGAAAATTGGATTCTGATTGGCTAATTTGAGTGCATCAAAACCCTTATTTTCAATAAAGAAATTTCCCAATTCTGCGCAAATCTTAATCAATGACTCACGTGTAATATTTAACAAAAATCAAATTTGAAAAATTGTAACTAGAAAGGAAAAACAAAAATATGTAAAGAAAGTAATATTTATCCATAAAAGTTTTCATGTATGACGATACAGTTACTCGTTAATCAAGTGTGAACGATAGACAAGGAACAATCTTATAAAATTTCGAAATGATTATGCATATAAAGAAAGATTATAATTATAATTCTAATGAAGAATAAAATGATATCAATTCAAATTGAACTCCCTTACCACATTAAAATAATAAAATATTTTAATTGAGCTCATCAAATAATAATACAAGTCAAAGACAACTAACTATTCCCCAGATACTTGCAAAATCATGAATATCATTAAGAAAGTTAACTTGATATTTGTTATCGTAATTGTAGAATATATCACTTTCGCTTCAACGTCACCACTTAATTGGTAAAGAAATTACTTAAGAGAATTTAAAGACAAGAATCAATCATCTTTGGTCAAAAGACAGTACATGTGTCTAGCCATTATCTGTGTAAATTCGGAGGAGGTTGTTGTTATGGCACTTCGGTCTGCTATGTTTCTAACATTTCTGGAGTTAAATACATATGCGGCAGTTCTTGCTGCCCTTTTCGTATAGATTGCGGTGACGGTACTTGTAAATAAATTATTTTTATTTTATTTCCACAATGAATTTACGTTCATTGAAGATTTTTACATATTAATTATGATTTTTTTCATACATGATAACGATAGTCATTATTAATAACTTGACTCGTTCTTTTATGGGTATAAAAAGTAAATCAGGTTCTGAAAATTAAGACTTTGTTGCACAAAAAAAATCCCAGAACCTAGCAATTATCATGTGATTTCATCTATTAATTTTTTTCGTGCTGAATTTGATTTCGGGTTAAATTGTAAATAGAAAAAAAAAAAATAATTAAATTACAATTTCTATCAATGATTCGAATCTATTGTTACAATTGAATGCAATTCCGGCCGAAGTCTCCATAATTCCGCATGAGGTGCCAGTATGATAAAATGTTAAGAACGTAAGGTTGTCAAGGTGCCAGTATGACAGGTTGTCTAGAATGCCAGGCTGGCCTAATTAATTTTTTTTATATATATACAAGCCGGAAATCCTTAAACAGCTCAACATTCCACGCTCGCCCTTATTATATTTCTTTGCATACGTTCACTTCGAAATCCTTCCTTTAACA